CTGGAGATGTTCTGGCGTGGCAAAATCCTATTTTTGCTCTGACAAAAGTCTGTCTTCTTATCTTGTTCTGACCAGAGTCAAACTAGTTTGTCAACAAGCTTAAAAGAGAATCCAAATTATTTGTAGCGAGGTACAATAGAAAAGATCATCACTACAGTTCTGTGGTTACGTGGCTGAAATAATGGGCGTTATGATTTCTGGTGAAAGGAACTTGAAGCTACTAGTAGTATAAGAGCAACCTGCTGCTTCTTTCCTGTCTTCTCTCTACGCTCACAAAAAAAAAAGCCATGCTGTCTCTCAGGCAAAGAAGTTGCTGTTAGCAAGCTGTTGTCTTCTCTCTACGCTCACAAAAAAAAAGTCATGCTGTCCCTCAGGCAAAGAAGTTGCTGTTAGCAAGCTGCCTTGTGTCATTTCTACCTAAAGCTGTCTTGGAACATGAAGAACGTCGGTTCATTTTAGACAATACATGGCACAGCCAGAGGATACAGCAGCCTAATTCCTAACCAAGCCCCTGCCACCTTTGCTCTGAGAAAGAATCATAGAATCATAGAATTGTCCAGGTTGGAAGGGACCTTTAAAATCATCTCGTCCAACCATCAACCTAACTCTGATAAAAAAAACAACCAAAACCTAAACTAAACAAAAAACCACATCACTAAACCATGTCTCTAAACAAAAACCCACATCACTAAACCATGTCTCAAAGCACTATGTCAACCCGTCTTTTGAACACCTCCAGGGATGGTGCCTCAGCCACTTCCCTGGGCAGCCCATTCCAATGCTAAATAACCCTTTCCATGTAACCATTTTTCCTAATATCCAATCTGAACCTCCCCTGGTGCAACTTGAGGCCATTTCCTCTTGTCCTATCTCCTGTGACTTGGGAGTCAATATAGCTCTTTATGTGTTGCCTAGTTGGCTTAGCTTTGATTTTAATACCATAGCTGTAAAAACGTATACTAATTTTAATTCTTCTCTTTTGATGATTCACCCCCCAAAACAATCAGGTACCAAGCCAAGTTTCAGAAGAAGCAGGGTCTGAAGATCTGGAGGCTGTTCGGTGCCATGCAGAGTCTAATTCTGGCTTGGCTGCAAATTTAATTTGTAGTCTTGAGCAAGTCAATTAAATTCTTCTCATCAAGTCTTCCCTCAGTAAAACTGAAAGTAATTACTTGCCTTGTAGAGATGCTGCAAAGACTAAGGAAGTCTTTAAATGGTTTATTTAAGATGTTAAAATCTCTTAAGAATTATATAGAAACCTCAATTAGGATTTATAAAAAGGTTATTTAAAAGCACAATAGGATAGATTCAGCACATCACTGAAACAAATTAATGAAATAACAATGTTGAAAAACTTCTCAGATGTGAAGGATGGAACATAAATCTGCAGTTGCCTGGCAGAGTATATTCTGCTCTTTATTTGCTATGGTGGAACAAAGTGCAGATACACAAGGAAACTCTTGTAGCCTGTGATACTCATCTTCCATTATTATTGGTCTTTATTATTCACAATCTTATAATACTTTGGTCCTTAAGCTGGGATCTGTTCTGGTGTGGTTGATATAGCAGACACAGAAGGTAATGAAGTTCCCTGCCCCAAAGAGCTTATGGTCAGAAGTTCTGAATGTTCAGCAGTTTACATCACAGGGGTCGGAGACCATAAATATCAACAACTCACAAATTTTATGTTTATAGACATTAAATTAGTTTGTGTACGTGCATCATCAAGGGACATAAGCTGAAGTACATGCTGAGAAATGTGACGTGGATTCCCCTGGCAGATGCATGGAGCACAAGGCATCGTTTGGGCTGGTGTAACTGTCAGTGGCTTAGATGTGCTCTGTGTGCATGGTGAGAGATGGGCCAGCAAGAGGCAGGGTAACTAACTGACCTTGCAGAGTCTTTGATGGATCTTCTCTTTGGTTTTGGCAGCCCAAGGTAAAGCACAAACATATTTGAAGAAAACTTGACCTTAAACTCACAAAGGCAGGCATTACTGGTGGAGCTGTGCTGTGATAGGTCTTAAAACTGGAAAGTAGAAGTTTGAGCTGATATGTAGAGAATAAAAAGCCAGTAGAGGGAACAGTAAAACCAAAGACACAGGCAACTTGCAGTTTTATACATGCAGATCATGGCACATCCTCAAAATTAATTGTTAACCTAATAATAATAATGCTCTGCTCAAGATATAATTGTCTTGTACCCAAATGACCGTGGTCCCTCTCCCCTATCTTGTGCTGTAAGACAAATAATAGAAAACAAGGCTGTCAAATTTGCTAATCTATGAAGGACTACTGAGGAGTAATCCATTTTTTTTCTCCACAAGTGATAATGTAATAAAGAGATGGATGGGGTAAGAAACCCTCGCTTTATCCCCACCACGCTACTTGCGATTGCTGTGCAACCAGTTCCAGCCACTATCCAATACAGCAGAGAATGTAAGAGAAGGGGTCAGACATTGCCAAAAAAAAGCATCAGAAGAGCTATTCAAGAAGTTCTTACCTATCTCCTCCACTTGTTCCTCCCTTACCCACCCCCTCCCTTTTCCTCTGCTCAGTCCTGCGTCATTCATTTGTATGGTTGTGTTTTAATAGTAGGGGTGCAAACTGCCCACGATGGGGAGGGCTGGCAGTGGTAAGAGAGCTTCCGTTGATTTTGGTTTTTATTGATTACTGGCCATGCTTGCAAAGCAAAATTGTTTCTCTTGTGTCCCTACTGCTATATATACAGACATTTAAACGCTTTTAGATTTACAGTAAGGTGTAAGGGGTGGGATATTCGAACACCTCTCAGTGTGGCTACTCCAAACCGTGGGACATACAGCCACGCTGAAAGGTGATGTGCCGTTACTCTGGTTTTACCCACCTGGTGAAGCCAAACCTTCCTATTTTCCCCATTTTCATTTGAATCAGCAGAACAATGTTGCTTAGCTCAGTTTTGCTTGGTGACGTATCAGTGTAGGGCAGGTCAGGCGCTCTTCTTGAAGATACAGGTTTGCTCATATGATTAGTTAGGTACCTGCAATTAACACTGCACAAGCTAAAGTGGGGCCTTACAGGACTCTCCTCAGGTCATCCTCCTGTATGAGTGAGGAGCCACCAGCTGCTGCTTAGCCCAAACGTCCAGTTGCATACAATGATGTTTAGAGGTGTAAAATAAATACGCTTTCTGCTCAGGCAAGCTTCCTCTGTCACTCATAGCTACCAACTTGCCAGTTAACTAAGAGCTGGTCTCCACCAACCATGTGCATCCAATGTACTAAACAGTGTGGTTTGCACACAAGTCTGCGTGTGGATACTTGTTTTGGTAGCTCTGTGGTGTATTTTGTTTGTGTGGCATCCGTTCTTATCTATAGGTGAGACCTGGTATCTGTGGAGATGGGCACGAAACAGCTATTTTGCCAGTTCTCTTCCTGCTTTCTGCTATTTCTTGAAATGAGGACCATTTCAGTTTGGTATCCCAGCCAAAAATCACTGTACTCGGGCGGGTGCTGGCCTCTCCACCAGCACCTGGCTGAACCCAGGAGTCCAGCTGGGGACACCTTCTAGTCACGCTCCTTTCTGAGACAACCCTCTCCTGATGGGAAAGGTGAGGAGACCAGAGAGGGCTGTCTGACTAAAGAATGCCTGGAAGGGCCAAGCCCCCTTTCCAGTAGCTGGGCAATAGATTTTAAGAAAAAACCCAAACAAACCAGTGAAGGAAAGTATATCAGGATAAGGGGTTCCTGTACTCAGAGCGTACGAGGATGGTGATAAAACCAGTAGCAGCAAAGTGTCTGCTTCATTCATGCTGCTTCACACCTCTGGTGGCCTTGGGGCCATTCTGGTTTAGGTTGGCTGTGGTGATCGCTGTCTTCGTGTGATGTTTTTCAAAGTTATGAAACTGTCGGGTTCTCCTGTAGAAAGTACAGGAGAATGAAAAAACTGCAGAGCTCCCAGACAGAGTGAGCAAAGATAAATTCAGTGCCGCAGAGGTCCATTTTCTGAAGATATTAAACAGTTTTAAGACTACACTAGTAAATGAACACACCCTTTTTATTACTGAGGCAACCAAAGTGGGGAGAATGGAAACAGCCTGTTATAGGTAAAGCCAAATGAGATGTTGCCTAGTAACTCTCAGCAGGGAAGCATTTAAACCCAGCCAGTTTAGCCAAGCTGATGTTCTGACTCAAGAGATTATTTTCTCTGGAAAAAAAACCTGAAAGCAGGAAAGCTCAATTTAACAAACATACGATTTATTTTCCTGTTACAGCAAACCGTGGTGACAATGCTTGGGAGAATACAGAATTATTTACAAACTTGTACAAGGAAGAACAGACAAAGCATGTTGTCAACAAAAGCATCACTACTGAACATGTGTTTTGATGCTGATTTTTTCCCCCAAATACAGTACATTTCACATTCATTTTTGTTCTGAAATACACAAGTGATAGCAGAAGTCTGGAGATACTACAGAGATCATTACATTATTATAATATTATTTATGTATGAGGATGTTTCTGGAGCAAACCTTACTTCAGCTCTGCTGTAGGACACAGAATCAAAGTAATTGATTTAAAAGAAGAAAGATTCCGTGTCTCCACTGATTCCCTTGCCTGGAATAGTTTTAATTAGACCCTCCTTCAGGACTTTGATTTTATGGGTCCACAGAAAAGTCACTCAGCTTGGCTAAAGGTCTCTCGCATCAGGGGACACGGCCCCCACCCAAGCCTAATTTGGAGATTCACTTTATTTTTGATTCTCTTTAGAAGGATATGATGATTTTACAGAAGTAAAAGCTCTGACATGATCAGACATGTATATCTGTATTCCAGGGTGCCACAACTATTGTTCAGAGTAGGCAAAGTCAGGTTCAGCAGACCACTTCATTTCAGCAGCCTCACTACAGTTAATGATGATAGTTACGAATGTGAACTATTGCATAGATCCATTTTTTTTGTAAATTAAAAAAATACAATAAACAGATCAACACTTACCTCACACTAACCGTGAAAAGGCAAGCTGCCAAAGAATTAACACAAAAATATATGTTTTATCAACACTGATAATAGCTGGAAAGCAAAGCTGCAATGGCATAAATACTAACATCTGAGTTCTACATTAAAAGTGTGAGGGTTTTTCACAAGCCGGTTGTACGAGCAGCGAAAGGATGTTCTATGAACCACAGAGATCCACTTCTCACTAACCAGAGCCTGGTTTGAAGTTTAATGAAACACTGTTGATACAGAACCTCTGCCCAGAAGGTGTGGGACCATCATCGAACACATGGCCTAGATGGGCATCACACTGCAACAGAAATTGTGTACAATTATTACCACTGCAGTTATGGACCAACTGGACCATACATATGGACCAAACATGGACCAACTGGTACTTACTGTGCTATCCTGGATTAAGAAACTTGTATAATTAATTCACTCTTGAGTTGAGTGGGTGGGGGAGTCTTGGGGAGAGACTAGAAGTACACCCTGGAGTAATCACCTCTGGCCAGTGGGAGAATATCTGCCCCCAAACAAGCACATCCCAGAAGAGCAAGTCAAAAGCTACTAATGCCAGGAGGTACAGGAAGTAAATGGAAGGATCTAGACATCTCAATATATAACAAAAAATTTCAAATTAATTGAGACCGTCACTATAGGTCCTTCTCACAGGTCAGCTGAGGATTTCACTCCCCCTAAATTACTGATGGGAAAAAAATAGACCCAGAATAGCTATCAGCGTCTCATTATACAATTAGTTGGTTGTCTTCAGCTGGGGTTCTTGAAAGGTGGTTGCTGGATATTCCTGCAAACATGAACTCTACCATGTTAATGGACTGCAGCGAACGCTTGTTACATCTGCAGCTAATACCTAATCCTGCTAGCAGGGGCTGCGAGCTCACTGGAGGGCAGCATCAGCAATCTCAACAGTTTGGAAAAACAGACACACACACACACACAAAAAACCCCAATCCCAAACCCAAGATACAATTCATTAAACTCAATTGCATACTGTTATATCTTAAAAGGAATGAACAGCACAGATATAAGGTTAGGAAGTAATGGTTAGGGATGGCAGTTCTTGAAGAAAAAAGGACCTGAGTATTACAGCAGAGATAATATATAAGAGAACCCTTAGGAGATATCTGTGGAGATGTGGGGCACCACCACCACCACCGTGCAGGGCAAATAGTAATAAGCTTCAACTGCTGCAAAGCAAATTCAGTGTTTTCCCCAGTGTCTAACCAACAGTAGGAAGACACAAAGGTTACAGCTCATTACCCAGTAAGGCTACGGAGTGTCCATCACTGCATATTTCAAGAACAGCTTCAGCAAACATTTAGCAGGACTGAAGTTAGAAGGACTGCCCCTGTGATGAGGCAAACACGTGGACTAAATCTCAGAGTCCATTCTGCTGTGTGTTGTCACACCCTGCAGTTCAGCTGTGATCCTCTGAATAATGTTCTGTTTAAGCTCCAGCCCTTGGCTATACTTACACAACTACTCTCCCCAGTCACATAATTTTCTTCACCCCAAACCAATTGCCTATATTTGATACTTCGAGCTCTACTCATGTGTTTCATACCAAGAAATGAGATAAAATGGTTCAGGTGATACTGTAATACTATTGCTGCTGTATTTAGGAAGATTCATTCATGGGCACAAAGAAAAACTCCTTTGTTAAGATTTGGGTCTTTGGGTGTCACCTCCAAAAGAAACATACCTGTTTGCAGACGACTTCAGTTCTAGTTGATCCCAACGAGTTGTCTGGTCGTCTCATGATATTGGTATTACTTTCATCTTTGCCACAAGTACCGTAAGCCTCAGAAAACGATGGCCATCCAGTCCCAGAATTATACTTCTTTTCTGAACTATAGTGGAAACCAGATCTTCTTGTTAATTAATAACAGAGATGTTACAAAAAAGTCTGGTTTTAATAAGAACATTGGCTTTTTTCTTCATCCCTGTCTTGTACTACTATTAATAATATTTGGCACAGTAGAAGTTTTCTCACTGGCATCAAACTGTGCTGGCAGGTCTTTTCCAAAGGGAATTCTCCATCAGCCCACAACAGGAGCTTTTGCCTCACTGTTTCTATTTCACTGACAGCTTGAAAAAAAAGTTTTTCCAACAACTGAGCACATTGTTTAGCTGCATTACACCTGCAAAGCTGCAGTTCAAAGCGTGGTCCAACACAGCACAACCACAGAGACAAGAGTTTGCAAGAAGGAGCAAAGTATGGGAAGCCCAGGCTCACGTCCAGTGGTGGCTTCAGCTCGTGGTCAACCACCAAACTGCTTTGGAAAATCAGATAAAGCCTTGCTCAAACCATGGGTCAACCAATGACGAGCCCTCACAGCACAAAGATCTGCTTTTCCCCAGAGAGAACCGCAGCCCTCAGCAGCAGCACTGCAGGCTCTCAGCTCTTGGGTGCCTCCTGTTAACATCCTGGATTCCCAACCCTGTTGAGTTGCATATGAAAACCTACAGCATATTGGAAAATATTTTTGGGGGGATTTAGCATACAGGAATGAGATGACCCCTTCTATTTAAAGCTCTGCAGTCAGTACTGTCTCCTAGCAAAGAGTGACCTAGCGTGAGTTAGAGCAAGAAATGAAAACAGACTCACACACTGCTGGGGTAAGTGGTCTGGAGACCCACCACAACCGCTTCCTCACCATTTCCCCTGTTTTATTCCAGTTGTACAAACCTAATGCTTTTACTGGCATCTAGTGGTGGATGGAGACACCAACACCAGCAGCAGTTTTCTGTGATCTAGCGGATTAGTCCATTAGTCAATATGGAATTTAAAGCAAAATATCTAGTATATGTCACATATATTTTGGTGGGATATTAATACAGTGAAGAAAAATCTGAAAAATCTTAGTTGCGGTGCCTTTTGGAAAGACAAGACAAACAAGCTGGGCAAAAAGCTTAAAAAAATCATCCAAGGCAAAGAACAGTGTATGCTTCAGCACGCGTTTTATAATTAACTGTACAGGAGACTGCGGAAATAAAAGGGGATTTGGAAACACAGAATGACCAAAGGTTCGGTTTTGTGCTGGCTGTTGCTCAGCCCTCTACAGCAATCCAGGCAGATCCAGGAGAAATGCTCTCCTACCTCCTCCCCACCAAAAATCAGGGAGAAACAGGGAAGGGAAGCACGCTGCATGGGAGGAAATGCAGTTTGCAGACTCCACGTTTGTATGAGAAGGTATTTAAGGCTCCAGGTCTAGTTCTTTCCAGCCAAAGAGGGCAAACCACAGGAGCACTGTGCCTACCAGCCACAGAGTCCCAAAGAATCACCTGGGGGCAGACAAATGTCCGTACGCTCCTTCTGAGTTTCCTTGGCGTATGCCTGTGCTATTTCTTTTATTGTTTTCAAATGATTTCAATCAGAAGTCTTCATTTTTTGACACAGGGATCCTGCTGCTTATTCATATGCAGCTATGAGGATTCTCTCTGAAACCCTGTAGAGTCAAGGAAGGTCTTAAATACTATGTGGGCTTTGCATCTGACCCTGACTGCCTCCGTCCCTTACATGCCACTCACAATACTTCAGTTTATTGTAGATGTTTTCCACTGCTAAAGGATCAATCTTTTGAGCTGTTAAACTAGCTCTCAACAGAAATGGTCTCTGTGTGGTTTTACTAACAGTAATATCACTTAGATTCCCTAATAGAAACATTTTAGTACCCCAAAATATTGCTGTCCAAGATCATATTTGTCCTTTGAAGTATTTCACCACTTAATTTATGGATAAATGGACTTTCCCTAAACATATGCATTAGATTAGCCTTCGACACACCATTCCTCCAGCACATGTCATTTACTTTGATCCCTATTTCAGTCGTCCTGGATGGAATCCAGATAATTCTAAAAAGTGCTTTTTGCTGTATGAATCTCAGCTGTAGGTTTATGGTTTGCTGAAGGTTTGAGATTTCATTAAAGCACCACAATTTGCTATCTATAAAGGTTAGGGGTTTGTTCCATGTATTTCCAACTCTTTCAAATGAATATTTGGTAGCTGAAGTTAATAAATTCTGGTATAAATATACACACACACATATACTTAGAAAGAAAGGAGGAAATGCTTCATATTTACCTGGAGCTAATGACCCCATGCATTTGAAAAAGAAAGGACGTTTAAAATGTACTAGGAAATAAACATGATGAATGAATCTCATATCAAATACCATTTTTTTCCTCATTGGTAGTGTCCTCCACAACATAATGCATGCACAGAAAATAGATTTTTCAGACTATTCTGCACATTTAATAATTTTCAATTTCCTTAAAAGGTTTTTTTCTCGAAGTTTGGTTTTTTTAATTTCCCTGTATCAGCCTGTAAGGCTCAGCATTACTTTATGCTTTAAACAAAGGTACCTATATTCTCTAAGAGCTGGATACTGCAAAAAGCAGCATGACTGTTTGGTTATATTGTTGTTTTGTTATTAGTTTAGCAGCAGAAGCAATTCTCTCCAGTGCTCATCTCTCTTCATGTTGGTCTGTAAATATCTATTTTCTAATATAAAGGATGCCTAAATTGAAGGAACATTTGAAGGAATTGAAGGAACTCATCCACAGCTTAGTAATTTAAAATTTCTCTGATTTATCTGAATTTTCCAGAGGTATTTTTAGGTTTTGTATTTGTCTTCAGAATATTCTGCGATGCTGCATTAGCTTTTGAAATAGATTTATTTAAGGGTGTTTAGTAACAAACCTTTATAGAAAAAGATACATTTAAGCGAATGTTTATTTGCACAACAGCAGTTTTCTGCGCTTGGCCAAAGGAAAACTAACCGTTCACAATTATCAGCCCCCAATTTTACCATTTAATTGTTTAGTTAAGGTTTATTTTTAATACAGCTATTATATTTTTCGCCCTTTCTTACTACCCAGGTCACTTGTTCCTCAGATTCCCATTTGAAGTCCTGATCTGTGATGCATCCTTTAAAGTCTTCATAAAAACGGGCATATCAGCCACGTTCCATTGAAGTCTCAGTTGGGAATAAATAAAGGCTATTTTCTAGATCAAAAATACAAGGAACTGTCTTTTCTGGTTCGGTTACAGAGAACAGAACACCCTCTGCACATCCTACTCCGAGGCACTCTATTTCCTTTTACTTAGCCTTTAATGAAGTTGCAAAATATATAGTATTGTAAAGAGCACAGAGGTTAATAGCGCAGTCGTTCAGAGTCAGGTTTTAAAATGTAGATGTAACCAAAAAGTCAAAAAAAAGTGGAATTTAATTTAGGGAACAAGAAGGGGGTGGGGGTGAAGAGGAGGTCTCAGCTCCAGCACGAGGAACCCCAGCAGTAGACCCAGGCAGACTAAGGCACACCAAAGGTCTCTCTAGCCCAGAGTCACAAGTGGCAGAAGATGACTGTGGAAGAGCACAAGAGCAGAGCAAACATACCGTGATACTCAGGGATAAACACACATATTTTGTGGCAGCTTGTGGCTTAGGGACCTCTTCAACAGAGAATTATTATCAACCAAAAAGGACAGTGTGTGCACATCAGGAGAAAAAAGCAGACCCTAACGTAGCAGCTACTGCCTGCTGGCCACTGGAGACCCTCATCTGCTCAAGGAAAGGGTTACCATGTACCTGTATCACCACAGGTTCTCTGGAAATCTTATACTCTGGCACCAAAGGATTGTTCTTCTGACCTCCACTTAACATTCCTCTCATGGAAACACGCTGCCCCCCCCCGCCACAGTTACAGCACTTTGAGGATGCTGTGAGATCTAAAGGATGTTACCTGAACAGCGGGGCGTTGCAGCACACACAGTGGTAGAGTCCTGACTCTGTGTTATTCAGGTAGATCCCACTAAATGGCTTTTAGAAAAGGAAGGAAAAAAAAAAAAAAAAAGTTAATAATGCAGGTCTTTAAAAGCTCACCATCTGGAACAAGCATGTAGGAATCAGATTCAAAACAGGAGAAAAAACATAAAAAGAAGGCTTCACAGGGGGGCTTTGAAGAACAAACATTAGCAGCCTAAAGAAATGAAGGGGAGGATGCCTTTGGATTAATCATGAAGACTACCCCCTGCCCCAAGAAACTCTGAGACCAGTCAGATGCATAAATCATCCAGGTACCAGGGCCGGAGTCGTGACCTCCGAGGAACTTGTGAAATGTGCAGGATCCCAAAGACCAGGGCTCTGCTACGGAGTGCCACGACTTCAAAGTGGCTCCACAAAGGGGCTCTCCTCCTCCCTGCATGCTCTGGAATTGGGATCCTTATTTTGCAGAGAAGGGTTTGGGCACGGTTCACATGATTTAATCCCACAGTACATGCTCTGTGCACGCATGGAAGCCCTGGCTCTGGGCTTGGGACACCAGATCTCCACCCACAACGCTCCACGGCCTCTGTCACAGAAGGAAACAGAATGGGAAGAAAGCAATGCCCATGCCTGGGTATGTTTAGTTTGGAGAATGGGGAGCTGAGGGGAGACCTCATTGCCCTCTACCTGAAAGGAGGGTGTAGAGAGGTGGGGGTTGGCCTCTTCTCCCAAGGGAATAATGACAGGAGCAGAGGAAATGGTCTGAAGGGGAGGTTTAGATGAGATATTAGGAAGAATTACTTTATTGAGAGGGTGGTCAGGCACTGGACCAGCCTGCCCAGGGAGGTGGTGGAGTCACCATCCCTGGAGGTATTTAAGAAACGTGTAGATGTGGCACTTCAGGGCACGGTCTGGTGACCAGGATTGTTGGGTTGTGTCTGTCTGTGGGTGGGTGTGGTGATTTTGGGTTTCTTGGGGGTTTTTGTCTGTTTTTTTTTTTGTGGTCGGACTTGATTATCTCAAAGGTCCCTTCCAACCATGAAGATTCTGTGATTCTATGAAAACACAGGGAGAAGGTGGGTGGGTGAGTGATCTGGTACACGAGGGATAACCCAGCTCCTGAATGGTCAAAAAAAGGAGACTACGGGACAAAAATATGATCTTCTCCCTTCCCTCTGGAGAGGCCTCCACTACTGCCACACAGACGGCTGAGCTGGCAGTAAAGTATCCCAGGAAAAAAAAAAATAAAAAAAAAAAAGAAAAGAATGCAGAATGTTTTTTCATCTGCAAACCAGTGTGGGTCAGAACAAAATCCACCCCGTTCGGTATGCTGAGTCTGACTTTCATCCACAGGAAGGCAGGGGAAAACCTCCAAAGCAGCTGAGTGGTGACAGGTCCCCAGGCAGGGGGAAAACCGGGCAGGTTTTTTCTGCCCAGCAGGCAGGGGAGGTGGCTCAGCCTTGGAGAGCATTCACGTTTTTGCTTACCGGTTCCGTTCCTTTTTCTCTTGTAACGTAGAATTGCTCCGGAGTCAATTTTTTTTTCCATTCTGTAGCAACGGTTGCTTCAGCTTGTCTAGTCAGAGAGCCTGGATCTTCAGTTAGATATAGAAAGACAATTTGTATTGCTTTTAACACCATTTTAACTTAGACTCTGTTGATGCTTTCCATCATCACCTCAATTCTCCCCAAGTTTCTGTGGGTACAGATGGAGCACCAGCTCAGGGAGAGAAGAGCAGGAGCAAGTGCAGGACGCTGCGTCTGCTTGGTGTTCTGTGTGCTCTGCATGGAGAGCAGCTCCAGCACATCGACCATTTGGGAAGGCTCTGGATGGAAAGGGACACCAGCAGCTCCAGCACACCAACCATTTGGGAAGGCTCTGGATGGAAAGGGACACCTACCACCCAAGGTACCATCCCCTCTCCCAATGCAGCCCTCTTTCCTGCCCTGGGATAACTGCTGCTCTGCTGGTGCTCCTTCCTTCCTCATCCCTAGGTATCACTGAAAGCTTTGACAGTCTGGCTCTTGGAAACCCTCAGAAACCAGAACTAATGCTCATTTGTGGGCCATTAATGACTAGCAAAGTGAAAAGCGGTGCTATTAAGGAACCCTGGAATAAAGCAACACCTACAGCCCAAGGGAAATGGGGCCATAGTTAAGCGAGGGACGCACAACAGGAGAGCAGAAGTCACCCATCATGGTGCAAACCTCCAGCAATGCCTCCTGTGAGTCTGTACCCACCATGCAGAACAGTTCTGGCTGCACAGCATTGGCAAAGAATGAATAGATTGGCTGAAAAACAACGGGTAAAATAATTTCATTCCTTTCTAATCAAAAAGCCTGAGATGGGGGACTACCTCCACGCTTATCTCCCATCAGCACAGGATCCATGAAAAAAAAAAAACAGCTCCTGAGTGATGAACGCTTCCCTGGATACATCTCTTGCAATGCAGAGATGATACTGGGGAAAAAATGAAGGAATTCCTAATTGCAGTTTAACTCTAAACCCCATAGCTTAGCCTGCTGGCTCCAGAGAAATGCCCAGCGCAGGCTGCCTTAGCCCTTTCCCACTGGCTGGAGGACACCGGGGATGGGGATGCCCGCCCCTTGCCAGGGCTGCTCCTGCCCTTTCCTCCCGTCCTCCCCATGCCCCGGCGGTGGGTACCTCTGCCGCTGCCGGAGCCCCGCGCCGGGGAGAGGAGGAGGAGGAGGAGGCGGCGGCTCCCGAGCATCCCCCGGAGCAGACGAGCCGCCATATCGGCGGGGCGGGACGGCTAATCCGCGTGTGCCACCTAAATAATCACACTGCACAAAAGCAGCGGCTCAACCACACTCTTAAATACCCAGTGCAGCGTTTGCAGGTGGAGGTTTCAATCCTTTCATACCGAGGCAGAGACGTCAGCTTAAAAATTGAACTATCACTGCAGCCATAAATACAACAAAATCCTGTCGAGACATTTGTGGCCGTTATAGGTTGTTTTTAAGGAGGACGAGTCTAGTATTTGCATGCAGAAGGGCTCTTGCTCCCCTGAATGCGTGTTACAGGCATTGCACTTAGTTATATTGATCGAGTAATTGCAAAGGCGATGGGCTATTTAAGTGGCTACTTGTTTATGCAGCGTGATTTGCAGCCACAGCTGCTTTCACTTGGCCTATAAATATACCTGTAATAGGACCCCTCTTTTAGTTTAGCCTCCTCTGCTTAAAAGGTAGACCTAAGCACGAGCCAGTTTGCCAGGTTAAGCTTTAATGCTGTCGTCTGCTTTTTTTTTTTTTCTTCCCAATAGCTCCATTTCTGATTTGGAATTAGTTCATCATTACAGAATCACAGAATCACAGAATCTTCTAGGTTGAAGGAACTGTTTTGATCGCATCGGGTAACAAAGCTAATAACGGTGTTTAATGCAAAACAGCTTTCTTTTTAGTCTAATTCTTCTAGCATCATTTTTAAATCAAAGCAAAAAAAAAAAAAAGTGTTCTGTGGTCAGCCTTGTGTAGAAATACCCCTTTTATTGAGCCAACCTCATGCCTAAGATGGTGAGTTCAATGGCAGCTGGGGGCATCCAGCACAGTGTTATGGTGGGTACCACGGCTGGGACCAAGTCCTCTGCTGGGAACCACTCAGCCCCACATGGGAGGAGGGGTGGCAGCAAGGCTTGTAGGTGATTGCATTCGCTGTCTGCAGCAGCAAATGGCTTTGTCCTATGTCATGAGACATGGTGGAGTGAAGTCAGGGCACCTCACTAAAAATCCTGGAGGAGATGTGATGCCTGTGAGTCCTCAGGACCATGATTAAGGATGGAAGGGGAGTGGGGCTGCTGGGAATGGAGGAGAGGGCATTGTCGGGGCTCTCGGTGCTGATGGAGGGCAGTGTCTATGTTGTGGGGAGAAGGACAACATTTTTCCATGTTCAACTATTTTGGGAAGTGAAGATCAGAGAAAAACCTTTCCGTGAATACCAGAAAAACATCTTTCCAAACCCCTTCTAGCTTACTCCTATGGCATCTTATATCAGTCGTTTAGCCAGGATTTGGGAGGGAATTAAAGAATGTTAAGGAGCCTTTTGAGAGACTCAATTTGGCGCTCCCCAAGTTCTGGCAAATGGCTTGGGGCTGGAAGGTGGTGGCAGGCAATGGTGTCGCTCCCAGGGCTCACCTCTCCTCTCTCCAGCTCAGCCATGGAAGAGGCATTTCCCTCCTGTTCCTGGCCTTGGTCTCAGGCAGCGTTTGCTGCTGAGGAGAACAGGCAATCCACGGTGTTCTCCCTGAACAACGGGATCTGGGAGATGAAGGAGGGCGAGAGAAAGTGATTAGTCCTGAATCATAGAATCATAGAATCATAGAATGGTCAGAGTTGGAAGGGACCTCAAAAATCATCGAGTTCCAACCCCCCTGCCCTGGGCAGGGACACCTCCCACCAGACCAGGTTGCTCCAAGCCCCATCCAGCCTGGCCTTGAACCCCTCCAGGGATGGGGCAGCCACAGCTTCTCTGGGCAACCTGTTCCAGTATCTCACCACCCTCATAGTAAAAAATTTCTTCCTGAGGTCTAATCTGAATCTTGCATGTTTTAGTGTAATTGACATTGATTTAACTGGTGCTTTTTTAAGAGGTGGAATTCAATACAAAACGAAGTGCCAGTTGAGATCTTGCAGGTCCCTGGTAGTGGGACAGTGCCAAACTGCAGCCGTTTCGAGGCGGTGGGGACCGAAGCAGCACAGGTCCGTTGCTGTGCCATGTCCCTCCTGCTCTGGAGGAGAGGACCAGGCTCCTGGGCCATCCGCCCCACGGAGCAGGAAGCATTCAGCTCGTCAGCCCCAGCCTCCTCATCCTCTCCCTTACCCAATTTATTGCAAGCCACCCCCTGATGAAAACGAGCGCGGTGGTGGAGGAGGCAGGTCCCGTTCATCCCCGTGGCCGTGCCCCACACTGGAGGTGTTGTGCTGGTGGATCACATCCTCTGTGTTTCCCTCCGACAGCAGCCTGACCTGCAGTCCTCCCAACAGGCATGGCAGGTCCTCCTCAAGCGGAAAAAACAACCCCCCCAGCTGGAGGTATCTCATTTTTCAGATCTTCAGTGCTGAAAAACCAAATCATTGTCCTGTCATGCCTGTAATATTGCCTCCCATGGTTACAGCACATACCAAGCTTCGTAGCTAGGCAGAGAACCGGCCCGCATTTCTCCCCATAGACTGTTATAAAAGCCAATTAGGCTGTTAATTAATTTTCCTCCTTTTTTTTTTTTTTTTTCTCCCTTATGCACAAGGGGAAGCAGTTAAAAGTCTCCCCTAGCTACATTATGTAAATTTTCAAGGAAATTCTCCCTGAATTGCAATTCAGCGGGTTTGTTGTTGAGAATGTCACCTGACTCCAGCACATCTGACTCCAGCACATAAGAGAGGAGTTAACAGGGCAGGGTCACTCACGGAAGGCACAATGTCTCATTAGGTGTGTGGAGAAGGGGGAGAAGCTCCTGGGCTCCTCCCGGGGCGTTCCTTTGCGGTGGCGGCAGCAGCAGCAGCGTGTGTGTAGGCGGGTGAAGGCGAGAGGAGGAGGGAAGCGGTCACGGTCCAGACCATCCTGCTAATATTTATTCGGCTCTAACCATTTCCCAGCCCAGGCTGTGTCTTGACTGACAGCTTTGGGGACAAGCAGAGCGTCACAGAATGCCTACGCTGGCAGATACTGAGCAGTCAGCCAGGAAGCGGCGAGGTGCAGAAACCAAATGAACCCTATGCAAATTCAAACCTCTGCTTAAGCAGCTTTTGCTAATAAAGCCCCTCGACATTACTATGTACAGAAGAAGACACTGCAATAGTGGTATTTTCAGTTTTGTATGCATTTGTATGCAGTCAATTTTCCTCTGCTGATTTTGTCATGCCTAATGTGTGTCCCCTCCTACGGGATGTTCCTGTTGAAACATACGGGAGCTCAACATACAAGGGTTTGGCTTGGATGTGTGATATGTTCTGGTGCTGTGTGCCCAGGCCCCCAGAGAATGAAGAAAAGGGGACCAGCATGAGCACTTCGGTAGGCAGGTTGTACCTGGAGCTGGCTCCATGTTCCTCGCAGAAATCCTCACTGCTTTTGCAGGAGATGGTCACAGGAACTCCACGTCCTTCCTCAGCAGAGTATTCCCTCTCCTCTAACAGACTTGATACAACCCCACAGCTGGTTTCTAGCTGCTCAGATGTGATGAGACTCTGAGCTCCTTGTATATGGAGACCCTCTTTCCACGTGGAAATGTTACCCAAAGATATTTGGTAATGCTCTGGTGCTGAATTCCAATGATGGAAAGGGAGTCTGAGACTCTGAGCTCCTAGTATATGGAGACCCTCTTTCCACATGGAAATGTTACCCAAAGATATGTGGTGCTGAATTCCAATGATGGAAAGGGAGTTCAGCAAAATTTATTAGTAGCAGAAGTGCCAAAGCATCTTGGGAAAGGATATTGCTGGTTTCCAGAGGCACAGAGAGGCTGAACACAGATCTGAGTCTCCCTGAAGATGGTCACAGGAACTCCACGTCCTTCCTCAGCAGAGTATTCCCTCTCCTCTAACAGACTTGATACAAACCCACAGCTGGTTTCTAGCTGCTCAGATGTGATGAGACTCTGAGCTCCTTGTATATGGAGACCCTCTTTCCACGTGGAAATGTTACCCAAAGATATTTGGTAATGCTCTGGTGCTGAATTCCAATGATGGAAAGGGAGTTCAGCAAAAATTATTAGTAGCAGAAATGCCAAAGCATCTTGGGAAAGGATATTGCTGGTTTCCAGAGGCACAGAGAGGCTGAACACAGATCTGAGTCTCCCTGAAGCTGACCCACTGATTCTGCTGAGATTTGCTTGTGGAGTAGCACGGTGTGATCCAGCTCAAAGGCTTCATCAGAAATAACGAACACACAAATTCTTGCCTTGTTTGCATTAGGGTTTAATATCTCTTTTTGCTAATTGTAAGCTATAGGATACTGAATCATTCTGACCTCTGTTTTTAGGAAAAAAAAAAATAAAGGGTCATATTTGTGGACTAGCTCAAGCAGGAGCCTTCTGTTGGAGTCTAACAATGGAATTTAGAGTAGCACAGTACAGCATAGCATAGTTCCAGTTGGAAGAGACGTGCAGGTTTGGTCTGCTGTGACAAATGCTTTGAGTTGGATTAGACCAAATGCCCTCTGTAGGTCCTGTCCAGCATAAGGATCCTAAATGCTGTGAGAAATTTCTTGCAAAATGAGTGAAGACATGAATTCAAAGTGAAATGGGTGTTTGGCCATCACTCCTTGATAGAAAACTCGACTCTGCAGTCTGGCCGCCCGCTCAGCTCCATTTCATCCACTTTGAACATGTGCTCTGGGAGGGAGCGCCCGTGTCTGCAGGGGCAGCAGGGCAGCCACATCTCCAGCCTCTTTCCCTGGCTTTTTTTCCCCCCACGCACCCCCTGCATCACACCATCCACATCCCTTGAGCCATGGAGACAGTAATAATACGTTCCCCAAACTCGTCTGTGATTTCTTATCCCTTGGACCTCAAGGTAGTAAAGATCTGGGATGGTTCTTCTTCTACTCGGTACCCAAAGCCTGAACAAAGTCTTGAATGAACAGTTATTTGGCAGCAACCACCGTCGCAGCAGCTTTTTGTAGGTTATCTTAATGGGTTTATCACCCTGGACTAAGCCCTGACCATCTGTTCTATCCTCTACTTATGAATGCAGAAAAAGCTAATTCATGATTGCATCATAAAAAAGTAAAATATACATGATTTAAGAGTAGGGTATGTCAGGCTTCACACTCCGACTGCAGGAAATTGCTGTCCCTTCAATGGACCGACTTCCCTGAGAGCACTTTGCCTCTTTCCCAGCAACAGGAATTCCTGAGGAGCGGGGCTCACCAGACCGGCTTTTATCCCCACTTATTCATCTTAAATGTGTTTTTAAATTTGGGATTCACATAAGTGCAGTTATGAACCTTCTTTCCTTCTCTCTTAGGTGAGGCACAAAAGATTTATTGTCAATGCATTTTCCAGTCAGGGAAAGCACAAAAACATGCTCCTTAAAAATTACCCCCAAATTCCACTTTTCCTGCGTCCCACTTTTGCTGTGGTGCAGGCATGGCTGGTAGATCTGTGGGGTAACTCATCTCACTGCAGTGCTCTCCGTTTAGAAGACAGGCAGAAAGCTCAGGGGGGCTGAGTGTGCACGTCCTGCTTCTTATGAATGACCCCAGATTCTTTTGTACAGCTGCTGTCCGAGCCACCAGCGGCGGTAATGGTTTATACTGGTTTAGCTGGGAGTTCAAGTTCTGCTTCGCTTGTGTTGTGTGGGTAAGGACTCCTGGCAGCCTCTGTCCTCTGGAAATCTTATACTAAAAACTGGATGCAATCGAACAAGTCAAGGGGCTGAGAGTAGTATCTTGGTCCTCTGTATTTTTTATGGGGTAAATCCTTCTGCCATCAGCACCTCTGCCCCGTGTGAAGTGTTGTGCCCTGGGTCTGCAGCAACTTCTGCAGAGCTTTCAGCAGCCCTAAAGACTGACCCATCTCGAACACGTGGCGGGCTCCCTGCAAGGCACACCTGTCTCCTGGCCAGACAGCCAGGCTGGATCAGGAGATCTGGACCTTCTCAGGGTGGCATAATGACCAAATCCTTTATTGCAAAAGGAAAATGCGTATTTTGCTGTGATGGCATATGCTGACTTGACTATGGGCGGTTTTTTTTGCTTATTTTCAGTCTTCTGAAGGAAAATAGGTACTGCCAATGAGTTGTTGGGGAGAAGACTCTTGTATAAACCAGCAAGAGAGCTATGAATATAATAAATGTATTAGTGCACTCTTCTATCTTAACTAAGTTGGCACACCAGCCCGTAAATGTCTGCTGCCTCTGCACTGTCTCCATTTTGACACTCCGTGTTGATAATCAGCTGGATTTATAGAGAAATGAATCATGCAGTAGAAGAGGTGAAGATTCATGCAAAGGAGCTATGAATGAAATAATGTCACCATTCAAACCCCATATTTACTAGTAAAAGACTTTTTTGGTTTTCCCTGAAGTCAAGTTTGATGTCAAAAATAACAGAATAAAAGTTCCTCTTGGATGGGAAAAGAAACACCCGTTTTGCTCTAAGAGCTTTGGATTCTTCTCAGGGTCTAGAGTTAATCAGTGACAGAGATTTACCGGAGGAAGAGCTCGTTTCGATGTCCACTATGTCAGGGAGCACACAGTTTGAGGGAGTGATGTTCTGCCCTTGCTGCAGCTCAGCAGTGGGCAATAGGAAACTATTTGAAACGTGTTAATTCTGTAAATTACACAGCAGTCGTTCCCTGCCAGCCTGAAGATAAAACCAGTGTAAGTTAACCTCAGTGCTCCTACTGCTCAGGGATCAAGGGCAACAGAAGGGAAGTGTGGAAGTGCTGTACAGCTGCAGCCAGAGGTCTGTGCTGCCTCTGCATCTGCTTGGGGAAAACCAGAAGAGTCCACTTCTGCAGCGAGGCACCTGCTTGAGGAAAACCAGAAGAGTCCACTTCTGCAGCGAGGCGTTCACCAGAAGCACCCTCAGAAACAGGTCCCAGCCAAAAACTGCTCTGAAGAGCCTGGAATTGTCCACTGCAAATCCATTGAGTCACAATGGTTCGGGCACACACCAAACCAGCAAAGACAGAGAAGTGTGCAGGGTCAAGACATTAGATTCCCTCATACCAAAGGCTCTGTTGCAACTTGACATCACGTTGGCGGTGCCACCAATGTCGGTCTGCTGCTTTGCTGGTTCATCTTCACTGGAAAGTTAGAAATCACGTCTGACCTTTCATCAGCACAATCCAGTTTTGTATTTCTTGATATGCAGATGTGCTGTATGTAAAACATTGTGTTTTCCAATGCCAAGTCAAAACCAAAATTCTTTTTAATGAACATGTATGGCAGGGGTGAGTGTGTGTGTGTGAGAGTGTGTCATCTCCAGATGCCTTGGAACAGACCATGCAATAAAGAGGAGCTGAGTGGGGCAACTACCTAAGTTCAGCACAGTCAGCATGAAGTTCAGCAGTTCCAGTGAACCAGAGGAACCAAGGCTACAGTGTCTTCACGCGAGCTTCTCTTGGAAGCACAGACATCACAGGAAGGACAACTGAGAGGTGCCTCTTTCAAACCATGATCCACAGTCCTCATCACTGCCCTGGGATAATCCCCTGCACGCCCTCTCTTTCAAGAAGCTGAGACTGTCTGCTTTGGTTCTCATTCTGCACAGCTGCTGGCCATGATGCCTACTTCTGTGTAATTGCCCAGTGGTTACAGCTGTGGAGGAATGAACCTCCCTTCAGCTCCTGTCTTTGCTTAAGATAGCTTTTCACCTTGCAGGAGAGTTCTAGGTAGGGTCCAGTTCCTCCATTGTACAGTAGACATGCGGTAAACTCTAAGAACATTTCTGGCAGACCCAGATTCTCTTCTCCCAAAGGAAAAACCTGTTACTCCTAATATTGGGCTGAAGAGGTTGCCCCACTTTTTTTGTTTCTATAGTCTATAAATCCTGCATTCTTTTCTACCTGATAGCAGAGCTTCAAAAAGAGGGACGAAGAAGTGGCCAGAATATACCCTGGCAATTAGGTAGCTGCAGACTGGTTCATTCAGGATTAGAAAGGCATCAAGCCTGACTCCTTCCGTGTCCTGACTGACTGATCTGCCCACGAACGATGATGTGAAAGGAAATAGGAGGCCCTTCCCCTCCCATCTGCTCAGGTAGGTGATCCCTTCACTCAGGCATGGCCCAAGCCACATGGTGTATGCTGGGCATGTCCTGGGAATATTCACCCAGCTGAGACCTCCAGAAACTTCCAAATGTTTTGTTTTCAGACTCAGGTGTGGAAGGAGTGTGTCAAGGCTGGGGGAGTTCTTCACCAGGGCATGGGCACAGCTGCAGGTCCCCAGGAAGCATCAAATAAAAAAAGCGGGGCTTCTCTTGACTTAGTTGACCACAAAACTGCAAGTTTTAAAGCAACAATTTGGAATTCAAGTGGTTATATTCTACCTCAATCTTATTTCTGACACCCAAAACACACGTATTGCAACTTTGAAGTGACAGAACTCAGTTAATACAAAGCTGAAAATTGTGAAAGACATAAAACAACCCTCATCCAGCATTTTTGGATCATCAGATTCTACATTACACAAGATCATATAGTTTTTTTGTTTTGTTTTGGTTTGGTTAGGTAATAATTTTATGTAAAGCAAGATTATATGTCTAGAATAGAGGTTTCCCAGTTTTTATTTTGAAAAACTTATATTCTGTCCTCTTTTTTATATTGACTTTTATTAGAAACAACAGAAATTGCTTTGTTTTTTAAGACCTTCTCAAACAGAGTAAGTCACACTTTGACATTATGGTTCCAATACAAAATAATGAAATTCCAACGTAGGAAAGCTATACAAAATGAGAGCTAGTAGGAAATTAATCCTTATTTTACTTCCATTTCCTGCACTTTCAAAGTTGCAGGTTTCTATACCCGATCATGCCTGTCAGTGAGAGAATATCCCTTTTCATCAGCCCCCGACCTGCTACACAGCAACGATAAGACACACATCCTCACCTGCCACTCAGCTCTGCTGGCGTAATCATCTGTTTTGTTTCCAGAGTTCTTTTTCATTCTGATGTTGAGAATACTACTGAACAGGAGGTAAAAAAAAAAACACTATGAATGTGTGGCCATATAAGTGAATTTACAACAGAAAGATAAAATGTTCCCCAAAGGGCTAGTGGCAAATGGTGCTGCGTGTCAAGGAGGAAGGAGGGGAGCGGTGGGATCACGCTCATAAGCACTAATGAATACAACAGACACAGACCTCCACAAACCAAAGCAAAGTCACTGTGCATACGTAAGCATTAAAAATCTAAAAGAACACAGACCCCCAAATTTTTGTATCACGTTTTTGGTGGGCAGGAAGTGAACACCTTGTCGTTGGCGTTCTGGTCTCCTGAAATTCGGTTTGGCACAGTGTTGTCTGCGTTGGCCTAACGTCTGTACGGGGCTTTGTCTCAGTTTTTCACAGTAAGGTCACTCAGCAGTGGTACTCCCCAAAATACTCCAGTACATTCCTGGCAGCTTCACCAGAAAACATTCACTAGAGGGTTCTAGCCAGTGTTTTACCTCTCGTAGATGCCCCACCACACTTCAGCAACACCACATCAGCCAAGGCAGCAAGAAAGACAAATTCCCTCACTAAAACTGCTGCCTTCTCAGAGCCCATTTTATCTTCAAGTGAAAAGTAAAAAATTTAAAAGGAGATCACAAGCAATAACTTATCAATCATCTGTCTTCCCTCTGCCAGGACAAACAGTATTTACTTTCATCCAGAGTACACTATTATCTGTAATTATTAACCCTCCCAAGAAATATAAATGTGATGTTTTCTGTAGAGGCTGAAAGTATACTGTTATCTTAGTTCTTCTAATTCTCAGTTCTTGGATTATTTCATACAAAAAACCTGTCTAGTTGATTTTAGGTGACTTGTTACTTCACCAAATGTCACACTTTCTTTCTTCATGGACATATAATTCCTATAAGGATGCATGGGAGTTGAAGGAATGTAAGAAAAAGAGAATATAGTGTATTTTGGAAATAATTTAAACCTGTTAACCTATTTAATGAGCATTATAATGTTAACACATATCATATATTCTTCACCTACTAAATTTTAATCTGTAGTTTCCTAGTTTAGTCTAAAAATAGTACAAAAAAATTAACAAAATTTCTAACTATTGAAGTTGATTATCTAAAATGTTTAATTAAACATTTAGGACAGCATACCAGATCTGCTTCTTTTTGATAGCCGGACCTCACATTTCATACACATTAGCACTGCAAACATTTTTAAAACAGTTATTTCGGTGAAAGTTGTCAAGATGATTAAATATGTTTGTACTGATCTGCCTCTGCACTTCTTTGTTTCAGCAAGGAGCCCGGCTCAAACATCAGATCTACAATATACTGTTTAGGAGGAAGCAGAAGCCCAGCTATTCCTTGAGGAGAGTCATCAACCAATTCAACTTCATTCCACGCTCTGTTATAGTCACCACGAACTAAACTGCAGCAAATGCCAATTCTGTCTGCTATCACCTGGAAAGGAAAGAGAGAGGAGTTAATCACAGTTAATAGAGGTACCTTCTGTGACATACAGCAAGGCCAAGAGATGCTTAAAAAGAAAACAAATATCTGAAAGACCAAGAGCTCTCTTGAAACGGACTTTGTAAACCTCTAAAGTGTTCCAAACTGCAAATCTTTAGTGTTGGTTTTGCTTAGAATGTGTAGGCTTTTAAAGGTTATTTCTACCCTATTCTATGCACAAGATGAAAAATATTCGTTTTAACTCTTTTCAGACACTGATACATTTGTTTATCGGCCGGTTGATGGAAGACTTATTTCTGAGTAACATTTGGAAGAACTGTCTATCCGAGCGATGAGGTGTAGGTCCCTTGCACACATAGAGCTAGGAGGAAATATTGAGTGCAAAAATGCACCATTGTTGTCAGTGTAAGCGTGGGGGCTGCTGCTTCTCTCCCAGGCACATCCCTGCTCCTCGGCCCCGGGAACGGGGGAAGCAATGAAACGCGAGGCAAGCGCCCGTGAGATGAAACACCTGCCCTCTGACACACACCTAATGGCTTCCAGCTCGAGATGAAACACCTGCCCTCCCTCTGACACACACCTAATGGCTTCCAGCTACACCACGGCTTTCTCAGAACACAGCTGCTGTGGGGGAATGAAATCCTGAAAGATTTTTAACTTGCTACAAGGGTGTTCATTGCTTAGACTGCCGTGGCTGTAAGAGAGGGGATCTGTCCCTACAAAAGTTTCTTAGGAGGATACGTGGGCATCAGTGCTGCTCCAGCACATTGAATCATGCCCTCAGACCTCCACAAAATATTTTGGAAACTTTCTGTCCCCATGGATAGCACAAATTTAGGATTGTGCTCTTTCTCCTGTTCCCTAGGTCCTTCCCGCTTAGTGCCCTTGCTTCTCTTTCCCTCCAAGAAGGAGAAGAGCCCAGCTACCCAACAGTCCTGTTTCCTAGGTCCTTCCTGCTTAGTGCCCTTGCTGCTCTTTGCCTTGCCATCCAAGAAGGAGAAGAGCCCAGCTACCCAACTCCCTAGGTCCTTCCCGCTTAGTGCCCTTGCTTCTCTTTCCCTCCAAGAAGGAGAAGAGCCCAGCTACCCAACAGCCAAGGAAAAAGGATGTGACAGTTCAGTGTCTGCACCAGTACAGCTTCACATGAAGACAGAAGAAATGAATCCTCCCAGTCTAAGAAACCAGAACACAAAAGCTGTTATATACTATCATAGAATATTGGAGAGGTACCAAATAAAAAATTGTCCCATCAAGTTTACATTTGCAGCACGGAAAAAAAAAAAGGAAGCTGCATAATTCAATATTTTACAGTTTACAGAAAATGTAAAATGTTTTGACTTCCAATCAAATATTTTGGCTTTTTGCCATTTATCAAGTATTCTGCTGATATCACTTAAGACAATTTAATGAAAACAAGAATGTTTATAGAAAGAAGCGATGCTGGCTTTCATTCACTGGGAGAGCAACTTTGCCAGTGAAAAATTACTTCAGCGTATACAAAAGATTTTGCATGAGTATAAATATTATATTATACTGCTGCAAGTATCCTTTAGTTTATAATATCCACTTAACATCAATATGTTGTGTTATAAAATAAATGTTAAGGTACCTTGAAAAGTAAAGCCCTGTGGCAGAATGTCCCTTTTTTGACTTTCCCGATGGGCACAACGTTGCTTTTCAGTTCAAATTCTATTTCACTCATGTGCAGCTCCCAGCTGAAGTCATGCACTTTGTCTCTTTCAATGGGGCCACCCATCTTGTCCGCAACAAACCTGTTTCAATGTACACCGGGACCAATTACATCTGTAATTCCTCTTGAATTTATGACAAAAATACAGTGAAATGAAATGTTTACAAGCAAGAAGTGAATGACATATAGGACTCTAATACTTTTGCTATTTTGCTTTAATTATTTTATTTAGTAACTCATATTTTAAATATATGTTAAACACAGGCAGCCATAGCTCGGGTCATTCACATGTGTCACAGACCTGTCAGGAGATTCTGGAGAGGTCTAGGGTAGCCACAAAGTCCTCAGAGGAAACCACCACTGCCAGTGTAATTACTGAGGAACTCATTCAGAAGCTAACATCTTCTTTACATCATCTTTACAACTAACCGGTGACGTGAGCTATGGATTACCATCCCCAGCCCTTCCATCTGTTTCCAATAGCAATAAAGGTGTGAGAATATGGATGACAAAAATGAAGCCATAGGTAATGATCCCAACACAGGAAAGCAACTACATCCAGGAAGGGTACTTCAACTTCTGCGTGTGCTTTCTTACAATATGTATGACAAAGCTATAAGTAATTATCTCAACGTAGGAAAGCAGCTATATCCAGGAGGGGTACTTCAACTTCTGCGTGTGCTTTCTTATTCAGGGTTTTGTTTACAGTTGGACTCGATGACCTTAAAGGCCTTTTCAACCTAAGTGGTTCTATGACTCCATGGCTGTACCAATGCCCACATCTGGGGGGTGAGTGGCAGGGATTTATCCATTGAACAGAATGGCTCAGTCAAAGAAACTGAAGATCAGGAGTCAGAGTCTGTGCCAGCGCTGCCAAAACGTGTCTTTAGGGTGATTGTGCACCCCCAGGATCACACCCCTACCTCCTTGTGTGCACCTTCACCTCCACCATCCATGGCCCCTGTGTGTAAAGACCTTTGTTGCTCAAAGTGTCCTCAGCCACAGGCACAAGTGTTACTGAGGGTTCTCAATCCAGAGAAGCTGTTGCAGAGCTGACATGGGAATCACAAGCCACTGCTTTGGACAGGGAGCTAAAATCCACATCACCTGCTCTGCAGGAACAGGTTCTGTCCTCGTGTCCCGTACGTGCAAGGTGTCCCGGTTTGAAGTAAAACAGAACCAGTTTTCTGTTCTGTAATTTTACATTCTAGCTAGGTCTCTTCTAACTCTCTGAAATTAACAGCCTGTCATGGAGAAAACTGCTCGTTCTCAGAGTGATAAGACTGATGTTAGTGCTCCCTGCCAGGGAATGGTGTGCAGAGAGGCCCTTGCTTATACTCATTGCTATAACAACCAAGGGCAGCCAATTTTGTTATTTGCCCCATTGGAGGGTTGGAAATGGAAAAACATAGAGGGGTCACATCTGTGGGGAGGAGCAGACAGTCCATGGCCAACGTCCGAAGAGGACTCTGTTCGGGGGTGTTCCATCCCATCTGCCCCATGCAGACTCTGTTCATCTGCCTTTGATCCTGATCCGTGTGTTCCTGACTCCAGAGCTGGAACCCAGTTCCCATCTGTTGCCGAGTCCAGTCTGGGACTCCCCCAGTGCCTGCTGGTGACGGGACTGTCATCCTGGGAGCTTGATACGGCTTGGTATATATTGTATCTATTTCATTATTTTCTTCTTTCTGATTTTAATATCAATTCTTCATTAAAGTAGTTTAGTTCATTCTAAACTTCTAAATCTCCTTATCTCTTCCTCTCCTCTCTTTTAGGGGGGGAGGGGCCATCTGTCAGTCTGGTTTTGGTAAATTTGGGCGATACCACAACACAAGGCAACCTCAAAGGCTGTGTTTCTCGCAGAGTGGTGCCCGAGGAGGTACCGGTTGCAGCAGCAGGACGGGCACGGGGAGTTACCCCGGGACAGGCTGGTCGTGGCATCTTGAAGTTGGGCATTACTGGGTGAGGCTGAAGAAGTGGGGGGCTCTGTGGTCGCTTGTGCCTGCAGCCAGCCAAAGCTGGAAAGCAGAGAGCCAGTGCCGTGGGGTGTCCCCTCATGTGCCCCCACTGCCTCCCCGGTGTGTGCAGCAGGAGCTCTGCTCAGGCTGCCCAGGGCTCTGCAGCTGCCTCCTCCTCCTCCTCCTCCTCCTCCTCCACAAAAAAAAAACCCCGCAGAAACCATTCTACTTAAATTTCCCGTGATTGCTTTGCTGGGTTGTGTGTCTGCAAGTATTTCCACTGGGGTGTTTGAAGAGGGGATCTGAAAGAGCGTTTTATGGATTCCACTTTGAGGAAGGCAGCGTGATTTATACACAGCTGGATAGTTAAGGAGGAATATCTGTCCTGTCAAATTCTGCAATCAACGGAAAAGTCATTCCTCATATCACCTTAGACCACTTCATTAAAAATGAAAGTTAGTGAAAGAAACAAATTCTGTGAGACTCAGTGGGATCTGACGCCAAACGCTCCGGATTCAGGAGGTGGCCAGGAAACTGCTCAGATAGTAAAGGTTAAAGGAAGGAGAAGATGAAAGCAGCACGCTGCTCGGAGGTGACAGTGATTGGTGCCCAAGGCCGAGTACTCAGTGTAACTAATGAATCACACATTGATAACAACAGCCTGCACACGCACCGTTGCAAAATTCTGGCACTATTAAATCATCAGGATGTTAATTACCTAAAAACTACACTAGAAAAACGTCCCGTGCTTTTGGCTCTATAGGAAAACAAAATACAAGCGAGTTCCTGTCCCAAGGGGTTTGTTCCCAAGCCAAGTAGGCAAGAGAGGCTGTAAGAGAAAGAACAGACATGATACGTATAAATTGCAATAGTCTCAGCATAGTCTCAGCCCAGCAGCAGGCTCACTCCTCTTCCTTCATGCTATAGATGCTATATGCAGCTGATGTTTTCCTTGGAAAGGATCAGTACAGATACATAAATGTGAAAAAAAAAAAAAAAGAAATTGTCCATATGAATATTTTCAAAATGAGAAATGTCTACCCTTTTGTTGCAAATGATATTTTACTTTAAAAAAATTAATTACAACAAATTTAGAAACAAGAGGCTTAAAATCTAAAATTATGTCAAAATTCTGGACCAAAGCTGATTTGGATTCCGATTAAGGACCAGGAAAATAACAAATTTGGAAAAGTTGTCCTTGGATGAGAAAAGTGTTATTTTACCAGTTCAACTTACTTGCATTATTTATAGAAACACAATTTGGTACTCACTGTGCAAGAGCCACAACCTGTTCCCGGGTAGTAGTTAGAGGCAGAATTGTTTTGGAAGCATCATTGATGTAATCCAGTAAAATGAGGTCAGGTGGTGGAGGCCAATGTGAATGTTTTTGATTTATTTCATTCTGGACTTTAGATATAACCTGTACAATTTCTTTCAGCTTTTCCTCTTCTTTTTTCCCCTTCCCTTTTCTTAGAGAGAAAAAAAAATAAATACACTTATTCAGAATACTGTAATCTCTAAAATTCAAATTCTAACACAATTATTCTCCAACAGGACATTTTAGACAAACTGATTTTGGGGGAAAGGTAGGGAAAATCTTTTCTCTTGATAATGATCAGTCCAAAATCTACAAAGCTGTAGAGAATATTTGTGGAACATGCCCTCAGGAGATGGTTAGGTACCAAGTGACACTAATTCCATATTAATATTCCTGTAAATTCTCATTTTATGTTTGTGTGTGGCTCCTGTATGCTTTTCCCATTCAGGGATTATCTAGGGGAGAAGACACTTACCTAAGTACAGCTACATAATAAAAACAGCAAGTTTTTAGAGAGTATGTAGTAAACATTTTTAGACAGTTACAGTTCGGTTGCATACGGTCATGATTTAAAAATCATGAACTCCCATGAGTTTTTACTGGACAGAGATTTGGGCTTCAAATAAAGGAACAGTCTCGTGAGCACAGCTGAAATCTTGGCAGGCCATGCCAAGCCGTGGGCTCTGGTTGCAAATCCATGTACTTCAAGCATTATACAAACTACAACATGGTTTGTCAGATGAGGATTTTATGAGAGATCTGGTTTTGTTGACTTTTTTCATTGTACATGCTACGTTTTTCACTAATGTTCAGATTTTGTGATCCTGAAGAGGCATCATAAGCACCTAGCAGAGGTAGAAATGAAATGCTTGTTCAGCTCAGCTAGAATATTGTGCATTTCACAAGTTATGAAGCAACTATAACATCAGCATCTTACCAGAGGGGTCATTAAGATCTATACAGTTAGACAGTTTAGGATTTTTCATTTGTGGGAACACATGGAATTTGTGTTTTGTAAGCATGATGTCTTTTCAGCATAGGTCCTGAATAATTCTAATGTGAAATACGACAAAATTTCTTTCCTTTGGTTAACAGTTCTGGCTTATTTTTCAAAATCTAGTTCAGGATTTTTCATTTGTGGGAACACATGGAATTTGTGTTTTGTAAGCATGATGTCTTTTCAGCATAGGTCCTGAATAATTCTAATGTGAAATACGACAAAATTTCTTTCCTTTGGTTAACAGTTCTGGCTTATTTTTCAAAATCTATAATACTTCTGGCACCGTTGGAAGGAAAAAAAAAGAAAGAAATAAAGGACCACTAGTGTACATGGCTCCAGGGCACACTATCATTATTGCACGCTTTTCAAATTATTCTTAAAATTTTACCAATGAACAGCACTCTTAAGATGGAAGGCATTGGGTAAAGCAGAAGGGCATGTGCCGTTATCAGCAGTCTAATTCAAGCAATTTGTCTTTGGAATACTTTGCAAACTTTTCTTTTACCCATTCACCAAAAGCCCTTTTCACAGATTTCATAAAGCACATTTTTTTAGAAGGATAACCAATTAAGATTTAATCTCCAAATTACAGAAAATTCACTACGCTCTTAAATAAACTGTTCTGGTTATTAATTACACTTATACTTGAAAAAAGCAGACAAACAGTTTTCTTTATCTAATGTGACTCTACTTAACTACAACCAGGGGAATTTACGAGGCTGGATTAAACAGCTACCTACTTCTCCATTTATACACTCATTATTACGGTTAAGTATATCCTGTTTAAAAAAAACAAACCCTGAATTATTCCCACCTCTCTGGTGTCTGACTTTTAGGAGGTTTTCAAAACAACAATTTCTGCAAACGGTAGAATCCTTGTTCCTTGGCCATTTTCTATCTTTGTCCCCTGCTCTTCCCTTCTATTCTCCCAGTGCTTTCTTTTATCTGTGAGAAGTGCAGTGCTAAATTGCAGCGCTATAGCAGGAGAATTTGTTCCCTTTTCCTATCTACTTACATGACTCTTGAATCACTCTTATTCTTTCTCATTCTTTCCAGTTTTCCGGAAGAAAAGACCATTTGAACAATGGTTTTGTAGTTTGGTTTTTGAAATTTATCATATTCACCAAAAGCCCTTTTCACAGATTTCATAAAGCACATTTTTTTAGAAGGATAACCAATTAAGATTTAATCTCCAAATTACAGAAAATTCACTACGCTCTTAAATAAACTGTTCTGGTTATTAATTACACTTATACTTGAAAAAAGCAGACAAACAGTTTTCTTTATCTAATGTGACTCTACTTAACTACAACCAGGGGAATTTACGAGGCTGGATTAAACAGCTACCTACTTCTCCATTTATACACTCATTATTACGGTTAAGTATATCCTGTTTAAAAAAAACAAACCCTGAATTATTCCCACCTCTCTGGTGTCTGACTTTTAGGAGGTTTTCAAAACAACAATTTCTGCAAACGGTAGAATCCTTGTTCCTTGGCCATTTTCTATCTTTGTCCCCTGCTCTTCCCTTCTATTCTCCCAGTGCTTTCTTTTATCTGTGAGAAGTGCAGTGCTAAATTGCAGCGCTATAGCAGGAGAATTTGTTCCCTTTTCCTATCTACTTACATGACTCTTGAATCACTCTTATTCTTTCTCATTCTTTCCAGTTTTCCGGAAGAAAAGACCATTTGAACAATGGTTTTGTAGTTTGGTTTTTTTCCTTATTTCTCTAGGGTATGACTATGTTCTGTTCCTTGGTGGAATAAGGTGGTCTTTGACACCTGTCTCTATCCTATTCCTCAGCTCTTCACCGTGTCTGTCTAATATTTATCTCACAAAGAACTGTAGAGTTACCATTGTACAGCTCAGTGATATCAAATATTCAGTAACCATTGCAGCAGACTTCTGATATTTTTTTCCTATCCTCTTTTATCAATGGGAATTACAGAATCACAGAATCACAGAATTGTGGTGGTTGGAAGGGACCTCAGAGATCATCGAGTCCAACCACAAAAAAAAAAAAACCAAAAAAAAAAATAATCTTGGGCACTAGAGCATGCCCTGAAGAAACATGTCTACACGTTTCTTAAATACCTCCAGGGATGGTGACTCCACCACCTCCCTGGGCAGCCCATTCCAATGCCTGACAACCCTTTCAGTAAAGAAATGTTTCCTAATATCTAACCTGAACTTCCCCTGGTGCAACTTGAAGCCATTGCCCCTTGTCCTGACATCTGTAACTTGGGAGAAGAGACCGACCCCCGTCTCTCTACAGCCTCCTTTCAGGTACTTGTACAGAGCGATAAGGTCTCCCCTCAGTCTCCTCTTCCCCAGACTGAACAACCCCAGCTCCCTCAGCCTCTCCTCGTAAGACTTGTGCTCCAGACCCCTCACCAGCTTCGTTGCCCTTCTCTGGACCTGCTCCAGCACCTCAATGTCCCTCTTGTGGTAGGGGGCCCAAAACTGGACACAGTACTCGAGGTGGGGTCTCACCAGTGCCCAGTACAGGGGGACGATCACTTCTCGGGCCCTACTCCCCACACTGTTCCTGATACAGGCCAGGATGCTGTTGGCCTTCTTGGCCACCTGGGCACACTGCTGGCTCATGTTCAGACATCAGAAATAAAAAAACCCACTCCCCTTTCCCAAAGCCATCTTACTCCTCATGAGACACAGGAACATTGCAAAGGAGAACTCCTGGCAGTCAGGAGTCTCCAAGCTGTTTCTGATTCCTGTTGCAACTTCAGCACAGGAGACCAATGGGTCACCAGAGAGCCAGTGTGAGGAAGAATGCAGTCAATACAAGGATCCTACCACCAAAAAAGACAGCCAGGACACCTATTTTCTTTCTTTTTTTGGCATAGCTCAACACCTCAGCTGTCTTTAGAAAAGGAGTAAATGAGCACTGAAAGTATTTCCTTAAATGCTGTCCTGGAACATAGCGTGGAATAAATGCACATTTATCAGTCTACATTAAATATTATCTTTTAGCCCAGTCAATGTGTGTATCAGACACGCAACTGTTTGATCAAAAAAGTCACTATCTGTCTATGCAAATGTATGTCAAACTATCAGCCAGGCACTTCCTTTACATCTAATTCAAACACTTCCAGCAGACAATTACAACTGCCCTTTCTCTTCGCTTTCAACTATGGTTTATATAAAGTAGTATCACTTTTTCAAAACAATGGCTTTAAACTCTGTTCAGTAGTGCTTTCCAAAATAATGATGAACAGAAACATATGATCAAAGGAAAAAATATGTAGGAAAACGTCTAAGCTTGTTTGAGACTTGGAGTAAGATACTGACCTTCAAGTAACTCCCATATATCTCACAAATTAATAATAATAATGATATATGAATTATGGATTCAAAATGAATGACAATGGGGTTATAAATCATACAACTTGATCATGACATTCAAAAGCAATTATTTCATTCTTGAAGAAAGAAGTCTTTGCATCCCTGAAAGTTTATTATGCGAAATTGAGCCAGGTATTTGTTTTTTCCTAAAGAAAATTTTTTGCTTTCCAAAAGTGTCATGGTTGCTAACAGAGCATTTACTGTGTAACTGACATAAATTACAAGCAACCATCCAAAGGTATCCTCATCTCACACTGTAATAAACACACGTATTATCTTGTCTGAACAGTTCTCTGAGCTCTGCATGGCTGCTTGAGACCATGAGACACAGTCTATGACTCCAGAGCATCTTCTGAGATGAAGGATCCCCCACTGGTGCAGAGCAAGCTTAAGTGGGGTTCAATATCTCCCTTTGCCTCCTGCTCCCTTTGAGTAAACTGGCATATGCACAGTGGGTCGTGACCAGAGCATGCTGGGCATCTGGAGGACCTGGTAAATGAGCAGAAGCTAGAATAGGCCTGGGAAGACACTCAAGATGCAGTATCTACCCTTCTGCATCCTGAAACAGGAACCTTCCACAATGCGGTTCATACGATCCCTCTCAGGTATCTACTACAAAATGATTTAAACTGAATTCCAGAAGTGCTTGCAGCCCAAATAATGAGTCAAATGTAAATGTCTGCCTTGAAAGTCAACAACTTTTGTATAGACTTATCTCACAATTTGGGTCCTGCTTTAAGTCAGAACCTCAACCCTTCACAGTCAGTTTTATTTGTAGCTATTATCTGTCAACAATCTACATGTCACTTCTAAACAAACTGATACACATATAATTCAAAATATAATAGCTTAACCCTTTTTCTCTAGTGCTGCTTTTGCTCGGTGAAGACCTTTGTCCAGACAACTCCTGCTCACCACTGACTAGAATTAACAGCCCCGAGGCACGGCCAAGGCCCCCTCCACCATAAAATAAGGAAAATTAGGAGGTCAAGACTGGGAGCCACAGAAACCAGCATGATAAATGATCAGCTCACTAAGTTAGCTAACACAAAAGCAGAGGAGATTTGTAGGTTACATCACATTCCTATCAAGGTCCAGACACCATCCCATTGATAGCAAAGAGGCTCTATGTGGACTGGATTTGGAATCCTGAACATTCCCTTTGAATTAGGCAATTACAGCTGCCTTCTCTGCCAGGCTCTGCCGTGGCTGGGATCGTGCTGCTGTTCTACATAAAGAGTCACCTGTTTGGTTGAGAGACCATCGTTCAGTTTTCTTCCACAGGAGCAAACTAAAGATTAAGCATTTTATATGAAAAGTCATCAAGACAAAGACTAGAACTTTGGTCTCGCCTCTCTCAGATGGGTGTCCTAACTGCTGAAGTAGAAAGCTCTGCTCATTATGCCTCTTCGTTAGTGAACAGCTACAATGAAGCAGAATGAGAGTGCTAAACCCCCAAAACCTTGAGATCAGCCACCTGCAGGTGGGAGGGGCAGCCTCAGATCATTTTTCTGCAAAAGAAGGAAATTAATTTCTTTAATTTCTAACAAGGTTAGAGGTTCTGACCTATTTGTTGTGAGCAGACGTGCCCACCAGATCAGTTCCACACTTCCAGGAGTGCAGGATTATACCCAGTGTATTGTGGGGATCAGAGAGAGACCTGTAAGAGCGAGGCATTTTTTGGCTGGTTGCTGTCAAAACTGGACCAGTTCTGAGCACACCCTTCCCAGCTTTTAGTCATCTGTGGAATTCCACTGGAAGAAATTTAATCTAGAAATAAGGAGGCATGTAGGCAGCGTAGGAGCTTTTCATGGGACAAGGTTCTAAACTGAGAAAGAACTTCAACCCCCAATTTCCCTGTGTCTTGGTTGTCAAGCTGTAAAATGACAGCATTTCACTCCCTCCAAGGGATATTGAAAGGAAAAACAGCTAAATAAATGGGAGATGTTCAAATACAGCATGGGGAGGGAGGATGAATAATGACTAAGGTAGACAAAGGAAGATTACTGCAATTAGGGGGTGAAAGAAAGACTCCGAAAACATATTTAACATTGTATTTGAGCATTTGTATGCCCTTAGCAAACTATCACCATTTTTCACTCAGAATTCTATTTCTAACGTTAGAGCATTGACAACTAGTAAATCTTAAGACAATACCTTGCTCTTTCTCTACTGCTTCTTCTTGAAATAGAAGGCGACACGATAGCCAGTTCATCAAATGAATCTTGTTCCTTCTCCTCTACTGCAAGACTGAAACAGAACAAGATATTTTTGCGTGTTATTTGCAGAGTTAGTATTTGCATGTTAAGCTGTAAAAATGGAGCTCTGGTTTTAAAGGACAGTAAATATAATCTTAGGAAGTATATAAATGAAAGAAATAAGATAACCACTTGTCAACTGGATATTGACTCAGGGATCAGAGATGAAGTATGGAATACCAAATGATGGACAAAAAAGTAACTGAGGAGTGAGACTGCTGCCAAGGTGCAAAGGCAAGAAGCTGTATCAAAGTCAAAGAAAGAAAAGCTGATAGTTAAAGACAACACTAAGGATCAACAAAGAGCATGGAAGTTTCATTTGTCACAGATATTCTCAGACATCTTTACAGTGTCATATACAAGCTTAAAAGGGAAGCTAATGATACTGTAAACGAAATACACGGTGTTGACAGAGAAGAAGGTTTTGAACTTGCAAAATATTGGTGGAGCATTCTTTGATCTGTGGGACTGTTTACAGCAAATGACTCCCAGTTAAACAAGGCCAATAGCAACTTCCTGCATTCAAATGGAAGAAGATTTGTTAGGCTGGCTTCAGCTTCAACAGAGAGGAAATGGACACAGGTTCTTTATCAAGCCCGAAAGCTCCGTGCTTGGCTTTGTCCCCCCTCTTGGGATGTTGTGCTTAAAACTCCAAGCATTTGTTCTGTACAAGAAGATCATCAAATCATGGGTTTCAATGTCAAATGTTGACATTCAGCTTAGTTAACATAATAATCATGGCAGATGACAAGCTTTGTTATAACCAATAAAACACTGAGTGTCCCACCACCAGGAATCAAGGGGTGTTAAATGAACGAGTCTTAACAGCTAAGTTGAATAAATCTTTTCTGTCTAGAGGGAAAAAAAAAAAAGTTATTTTCCAAATTCTTATTTTACAAAATACACATCCCTTGCCTTCTAGAAAATGCAGCACTGCACTGGGATTACAACAGATCTATTTTATATATGTGTCTATATATCTATACTATGTAGTTTGTACTGGAAACAGTGGAAATGATGGAAAAGATGAGCTATTGCAATAAATGCTGGTAGATCAAACACGACTCACTCTTCTTGTGGTTTAGCATTAATGAAGATTACGGCCCGCTGGTCAGTCAGCTCTTGCATACTCAGTTCCTTCAAAGATAAAAATTTCACTCCAGGTTTTATCTACAAGAAAATTAGCATAAAAGATAAGGTGTTCTGTTCAGTTAAAGATGAAGAGAAAAAATATATTGAAAAGATATCTACAGAGTAATTTAAAATTCCTAATCCTTAACAGAAGACTTACACAAGAACTTATAAAGCCATTCAAAATGCCTGAAATTGTTTTCTTCTTCATTTGCTTTTTCTTCATCAATTTTCTCCGAAAAGATTGTTTATAAATTATTGAACTTGTAGTTATTGTTACTATGTCATTCCAAACAGTTCTTGAATAAGTAAATGTTCCTGCCTCTGAAGCCTTTACAAGATAGGAATTTTCAAAAGCAACCAAGTGCTTTAGGACCAGGTATTTCACTGATTTTCGGTAAGATTGGTATTTCTAATTCATTTAGGCATTTTGAAAAGTCCTTCTCAGATTTATACTCAGCACTAATAAGTGATACCGGAGTTAGTCCTTATATATAAACACTGCTTTGTGAGAGAAAGGCTCCTGACCAAGGTGAAAATGTGAACTCTTTACTTCTTTATGTGAAAATAAACAAACAAAAAGTCCACAGGTCATTCAGTGTCAGGTCAGTATTAAGTATATTGCAGGGAAAGAGACCAGAATAACTAAGGTTTGAGAAAGGATCTGGGAAGGAATTTAGGATTAGGAAGAAGATTGCAACTGGGGAATAGCATGAAGAGGATGAGATTTCATCCATGAAGAAAGATAATCAAAAGAAATAAGTATAAAAGCTGGAAAACTTCAGGACAAGAAAACAAAGAATTTTACATTGCCAGAGTCTGGGTTTTGCTAAAGTATTCTTACATTTTTTTAAAGCAAGAAGAAAAATTTACTCTTTCTAAGCAGAGGAATTTATTTAAAGTAGCTTACCTGACCACAATCATAGAATCCATCAGTAATGATATTACTTGATGATAAATATCCCATCCGGCTGTACTTTTGGGAAAGATTGTTATCAAGTAACATTTCCAGAGCAGCTTCACTATAGTTTTTTCTGCGCACCATTGATAGATTAATTTCTTCTAGGATGTCTAAAGCGCTGTTAAACAAATTACAAAGGCTAATTCATCATTAAATACCAATTAATTGTTATTATACAGTTCAGAGTTAGCTTTCAGCATTACAGAGGCCAAGAGAGATTCATTTCCAAGCGCTGGCCTTGTGCCCTCTGGGCCAGCAAGGGGCTGGCTGTGCTGCAGGGAATTCTTTCCCTAGAGGAGGAAATCACCCCAAACTGCTCCAAAGCCACTCCTTTAGGCAGTTTAACTGTGACCTAAAGAAATGCAGGCAGGACACTGCAACGTTTCATCAGAAGAATGTCAGGCACCACGGAGAACTTCAGAAAAAGAAGGATTTAAAAGTAATTAGAAAAGGAATAATGTTCAGAGCTGACCAAGTGATACAATCTCTCTCTTTCTTTCCGTTGCAATTTGCAGGTTGCAGTTGTGCATCACACAACATGGGAATCCTTCTGGTTTAGGACTCTCACTGTGTTTGGAGGAGGCACAGTTGGCAGAGACTTGCTCAACACGGAGGAGCACGGCAACACAAGCAGTTGTGTCAGCACCACCAGGGTGGCAGGAGTTTTGCAGCACGGGGGTAGAAACAAACAGTCGTGTGGGGACATGGGAGGAGAGGAATTCATTTCTTAACCTCCTTGTGGTGCTGAGCCCCACACACTGATAACTTCTGACCTGAAAAGCTAAGGAATAGCTCACTAAGAAGATAAAGGAAGCTGAATCAGGAGACCATAGCACAGGGCAATTCTGGAACTGTTTAGGAATGAAAAAAAAAAAACAGAAAAAATAGAGTTCAGTATATTCATGTGTGTATGTGTGTGTACATACCCAAATTTATATCTGTGTGTGTATATACACACATGCAGACATTCTTCACATCCTAAGGAATTGATTATTTTGATATATATATATATATAAATAAAATGAACTCCATGTTTAGACTGCCCATTTCTCTCTGTGATCTACACAGGGAGCCTCAGCTGTGGACGTTTACAACGTAGACTTATGAAGGTACCTCAGATGAATTCCAGAGGACAAGCTTTTCAGGCGAGGCAAATGGCAACCTTGTCTTTTAGAAGAGAGCAATGGGAGAAAATACTGGAAGAGCAGAACAGGCTATTTGTCATACAGCATACTGCAACAGAGTCAGGTAACCAGCAAGGAAAAATCTTAAAGGGGAAAAAGAATAAGGAAAAGCTAATGTGTTCAGCAGTGTCTAAACCAGATGACATTACAGGCACAATGGCACATGAACCCCCTCGTATGGAGGAAAGACAGGACAAAAATGGACAAATACAGCTGCACCAAAAATTCTGTGAAGACCCAAAAACCGAAAAAAAAAGGACTCATACAGAAATGGAAGCACTGACACTTCCAACTGAAAAGAAAAAGTAAGGGACAAACCCAAAAGACCCACAGGCAAAGCAAGACACAACTGTTCAGGGACCGAAACAAAAATAAATGTTTCATATGCTACAAGTCAGAGAGGAAAATGTAGGCCTATTACTCAATGTGGGAAGAAAACTCATAACAGATGGCACAGAAAAGACTGAAGTGTCTGATGCCTTTTTTGCTTCAGTTTTCATAGAAGAGTTGCAAGCAGATGCCTGGCAGTAATACTAACAAGGAGGCAGAATCAGTAGGCTTAACGTGTCTAGAATAAGTTTGAGGAGACAAAGTTTGCAGTCCCAGGGGACACTTACCTCACACTACTCTATGAATTGGCAAAAGCAACCTCTGAACTATTTATAATTGTATTTGAAAATTCAGGGAGGACAGGCTAGGTGCCAGGAGAGTGAAGAAGGGCAAAGATAGTATCTAGATTTGAAAAATGAAGAACAAAGAAATTGTAATAGAGATCATTCGGCCAAATTTCAGTGTCCAAAGAACACCGTATCAAATTATTAAGCAATCAGTTTGCAAGCAACAAGAGATAAGAAATAGCCATTATGTATTTGTCAAGAATAAATCATGTAAAGGCAATCTAATCCTTTCTGTGATAGGGTAACTGACTTAATGTATAGGCAGAAGAAGATACGAGTTGACTTTGAGATATGTTTTGACTTTAATAAGTCTTTTCACAGATTCCTACTTGAATACTCATGAGCAAGTCAGGGAAATATGATCTACATGAAAATAACATGATGTAGTGCCTGACTGGTTGAAAAACTATGCTTAATGTATTGTTATCAATAACATGCTTTCCAACTGGAAGGACACATAAATTAGAGTCCTACTCCGATACTGTCACAAAGAAAGGATTAAATAAGAACAGTGCTATATGCAAGGTTTAGAAAATAATTACTGAGCTTTATTTGATGGTGGTCTGACCTCAGCTGAAGTACTTCATCCAGGCTGGGAGACAGCACTTCAAAATGGCATAAACAAATGGGAGAAATTCAGAGACGTGTGACAAAATGACACAAGATTTCAAAACAAGAAGTTTAACACCTTTACTTTGTCATGAAAAGGAAACTGAGAGAGGGACATGGGACATGAGAGAATTCAAGTCGTTAAACTGAAGTTGCTATAAAAAGCTGGTTATTCAATCCCACTGAAAGTAGGACAATGTGTAGTTGGATTGATGTGCTGTGAAGGATATTTAGAACTCGGAAACCCCTCCTAATTGTAAGGAAACTACAGGTTGAGACCCCCTCAGAATTGGTATTTACACTGAATAATCAAAATATGTCAGTGAACCTGATTACCTTACAGTGAGCAGATGATAACATCACCTTTGAATTGCCCTCCTGACCTAAATTTCTGAGATCCTCACTCTGCAGAATCCCCTCATAGATGGATTTTAAGTATCTGTGCAGTAAGTGTCCAGTAGAGGGAGTAGAGCAATTATGCATATTTTAATTTAACAATAACTAAAAAAGTCACCCTTTATAAGTAAACCTGTGTCATAATTCTTATAACCTTTTGTAATTCAGATATTAATATATGGAACTTGGAGTTTCTAAGAAGGAGTAAAATAGAATCTCTTTTATGTGGCACTTAAGCACACCTGCAGCTAAACAGACCTTGTAAATAAAATTTAGCCTCTGTGTAATAAGTACAATTTACTGTATATTGAACTTAGCCTGAAACCTTAATTTCAGTTTCATATGTATAGGGCACTGCAGAATGTAATTTTGACTGATACACACACACCTTCATAAAGCCTAATTCAGTCACAAAAACAATAAACATTTTTATAATTCCAGACAGTTGTCTCTTCAGTCTTGCATTTTTTCTTAAGGCTTCTGTTACTTAAAATCAATACCCTTTCATCTGTAACATCTGTGGTGCAAAAGCAGTTTCTGCTTACCAAAAAGTCCAGCTTATCTTTGTTATTCTGCTATAAATACGTAAAGATTGACTGAACAGAGGACTCACATCAGAATCTTCCCTCTGCCCCTTGATACTGTTTCTACTCACCCTAGCCTGCACAGTTCAACAGCAGTTGGTTCATCACTGGCACAGACCGTAACAGCCAAACAGGCATTTCTTCTGACTTCTTTATTCCTAGAATGCAGCAATTCAACGAGGGGTTCCAGTCCACCTGCATTTCTTAACTATTAAAAAATGAAGACATTGCCACTTAAATATTTCGTCTCTCCCAGCAAGGTGTGAAATTCACCTTCCAAAACGTTCAAGCCTTGCAGAGAAGCTATGCTGGGCTGGTGCAAAGGCCATTTACAGAGATTCTGTGCTTTTCTGGACTCTGCATGTGCTGGAGCTGAAGCGAGCGGTACAAGGCACACATCCCTTCTGGCTCTGCCTTGCTGTTCAGTTATTAGGTTGTGGTGTGGAAACCAAAGAGACCGTGCAACCCAAGACTGCCATGGAGAGTTACACAGCTTTTTCTGTGTTCTGTTGCCTCCTAGCAACTAATTTACATCACAATATATTAGAATTTGTATTGTATTGTATGTATGACAATCTTATTAACGTCCTATTCTCTTGTGTGCTATAGTATCTTTCCCATACACGCTGGAGGAAATATTGCTCATTTGGATTTTTGAAGAGAAAGACATTTTAAGGACACTGAAAGAGGTAGATTAATTATCTATGCCCCTTATTCATGTCCTAATTAGCAGCCTTGATCCATGAGAAAACCGTAGCTTAGGATCCATGAATGCACAGAGCATCATCCTTATTTATGAGAGGAAAATAGCATGACCATTGATAGGCAGCAAAAAGTTCGACCTGCTGGATGCCACTGATCAAGGCACTAATTGCAGTTTGAATTTTGTCTGAATTACATTTACTCTGTGCTCACCCAGTATGTTATTATTGAAGGTCAGACATTGCTGTACAGGCCTTGACAGTGAGCAACAGAACTACACTGAGGGAGAGTAAAGAGGACAGAACTTCTCATCTTCAAAGTTGAGCCGACAGTTGCAGCTGAAAGAAACCTTGATGTTTAGTGCTCATAGACGTGGGGATTAAGATATAGCCCTGGTTAAAGCTCATTGAAGCCACTGGAAAGCTGTAAAACATTAATTTGGTGCAAGAAAATATGGCAGTAATAATACAAATTAAAGAAAACCCTTTCCAAGTTCTCGTGACAAACTGACCTAATTTGAGCTGAACAAGCCTGCGATGAAAGCAAAAAATAAGTTACTATCTAAAGCTTGGGACTGCTAGGACCGAGACAAAATAGAAAGCATTCCAGGTAGGTATAACAGCAACCCCAGGATCCAGAAATATAAATAACCCCAGCCTGGAAGGGTAGCTTTACCTCAGTTCTTGCATCAGCGTCACAACCAAAAGCAGCCACGGCAGAGGCTGCCCTGCCTTGCAGCTGGCCGTTGGGGGAGCCCAGGGGTGCTGTCAGTGCTCCCATGACACCGTGTCTCCTCGCGCGCCTGCGGAAGGGCTCTTGGGTGGCCAGAGTTGTCAGCACTGTGGCGGCGTGAGCGACCGCTCCGTCCCTCCCAGAGCTCAAGAGATTTACTAATGGCTCAGCTACTTCAGCCTCAGCAACAGCCCTAGCAAAATGAAGGAAAAAATAAATATCTTTGTTATTTTAGGACATTTCTTCATCCTAGCGTGATTGACCAACTACATTAGTACTACATTGCAAGATTTTATATATATATAAATACATGTATGTCATTTATATATGACTCTGTGTGAAGTTTGCGAGGCGCAACGTACGCAGACAAACCAGGTCACAAACAGAACCACAGAATCCCATGGGGTTGGAAGGAACCTCTGGAGATCATCCAGTCCAACCCCCTGCCAAAGCAAATCCACCCAGAGCAGGTCCCACAGGAGGGTGTCCGGGCCAATTTTGGATGTCTCCAGAGAAGGAGACTCCACCACCTCCCTGGGCAGCCTCTGCCAGGGCTCTGCCACCCTCACAGGAAAGAAGTTCCTCCTCAAGTTTAGGTGGAACTTCTTATGTTCAAGCTTGTGCCCATTTCCTCTTTTCTTCTTTAACTTACTAGGACATGGATTCTTTCCATGGTTTTGAACAAGTGAATTAAATCTTGCATATTTTCAAACATGCAGAATTTCCATAACTTTAGTTCCAGGCAGATGCTTCTGCAGACTCTTATCACCTCTCTCCATAATCACTCCAGCACTTCTCCCAGTAAGGATTATAGCATGCTGTTGTTCTTTTTGCTGTCTCCATAAATTTCTGTGATGGGATACCCAGGTGGCAGGAACACAGCACACCAAGCTTCTGCCACTCTTACCGAGTAGGTGTTCATGGTGCAGTTTGGTCATCGGAGGGTGGTCTATTGAGCCGGTTTTATACAACCTGATTGAGACAGCAGGAGCACGACAGACACATGGGCACAGGGCTGACTATGGCTGTGGTGCCACATCAACTGGTCCGTGAGCAGCAGATCAGGTTTAAATATTGCCTCTGCTCCCAGGTGATGTTGTGGCCGTGGCTGAAGAAGGTGCTGCCCCTCAGCAGCGCTGGGGCAAACACCGGTGTGGCCACGTTCTAAGCTGGACGTGCAAAACCACCCATCGGCAAATAAAATGGAGGAAGAATGTTGGGATTTTGTTATGGATCATTTTATAGGTTTAGGTTAGAGAACGTCCAAGAAAAAACACACAAACCAGTTGAAGAAGCACTAGTAAGTTGTTGGGATTTTGTTATGGATCATTTCATAGGTTTAGGTTAGAGAACGTGCAAGAAAAAAACCACACAAACCAGTTGAAGAAGCACTAGTAAGGAAATAGCAGCTTCAGGCAGGAGGCAGCAGAAGGTGCAGGCAGCTGCACTATTAGAGGAGACATTTGCAAATGACTTAAATATTCTGGCACTCACTGGGATAGTGCCTTTTAAAAGAAAAAAAAAGTCAATTTCATATTTAATATCAGGTAAAGAATCTATCTGAAAGCAGCTGGTGACATGCTGTATAAAGATAGTAAACTCCTGACTACAAGTGATGCAGACCCTGAAGAGAGAACCTGGCCTGGCTAAGGGGAAATTACCATGCTCTAACAAATCTGAAGAGCCATACGTTTCTGGGTTACCACCGCATTATGTATGCTTTGATTTCTTTGCCACAGGCAAAGAGACTACTGATACAAACGTACAAATGTAGTTTAAATTCTTCAGATGCCATAAGATATTCCATAACTTCAGATTCTTGTTGACCTCCTTGCCAAAACTTTGCTTCCTACCAAACAACAGGAACTTATTTCTTTGTATCATCTTTCATTTGTTTCAGTGCTGCTTTTTCCAATGTCACTGTAATCCAGCACACTATAAAAATTGAATTGTCTTCCTTCTGAGTTTGTATATAACATTTGATCAAATGATTTGAGGCATATGTCCAATTTACTATCTGCTCTTAGTAATTTTACATTGGGCTCATCTGTTTGTTAAACAAAAGTTGGCAATACTGTTAGCAATGGAAATGTGCAGATGGCAATTTGAATTTTCCTTGCAACTGCTTTTTATACCCTCTTTTAGTACATTTTGGCTCTATCAGAAACATAACAAACCCTCCCACCTCTATAGAAGCATATCTGAGCGCTTCAACAACCAAAGAGTGCACATTCTTTATAAGTTTTGCTAAATTTCTGTCAACACATTAATAAGAGAAATCTGGATGTGAGAATCTTATTTTTACTGTAACAGTGTTTTATCAAAATCCAACTAACCTTTTGGTAACTTTCACAGTTACAAAATAAAGACAGGCTTAGAAGTATTACATAGACAAGAAAGAAGTATGCTGTCAAAGAGTGTCAAGGCATTCATAAAAACAAAACAAAAAACGCCAGGAATGCTGATAGTCACAGGCTTATGCAAAGAGGATAGAAAGCAGAATACTTGCCAACCTGTGCTGTAAAATCCCATTACGTGGGCACCGTGGTGTCCATCTGGCTGAGAACTCATCTTAGGGCAGGTAGCTCCAAACTGGATTTGGAGAGAGGGGGATGCAGGTCCTGCATCCATGCTTCGTCAGCCCGATCTCTGCCTCCGCTACGAGGCGATGGCAGCTCACAGGTGGTGATGGAGCACAGCGGGGAGGAAGGCTGGCAGGCTGGCAGGTTTGGAAAACCAGGGAGAAGGCAGCAATCCAGGGACTGAAGGTTTGTAGGGTTATTAGCTTGGGTGCAGCATAAAGGTATAGGGCCAGTTTGGAAAACCAGGGAAAAGGCAGCAATCCAGGGACTGAAGGTTTGTAGGGTTATGAGCTTGGGTGCAGCATAAAGGTATAGGGCCAGCTTGGTGTTGGCTAATTAATCCTCCTAGAGCACCAGTAACTTTAACGCAAGCACTTCAGTGTCTGTTCAGAAGAGCATCCTATGTTTCCAGATGTCCTGCACTACGCTCCTCACACTGTCTTCAATTAGCTGGATTTCTCCTTATCTGCATGTCCTCCCTCCCCTTCCATCCTTGACCAGATAAAGAAGGGCTGAAAATGCTTTGTTTGGGTTTTATGTTGGTTTTTTTTTTAGTTTTTTGGTTTGGTCTTGGTTTTGTTTGGCTGGTTGGGTTTTTTTTTTTTCCCTTATCTGCATGTCCTCCCTCCCCTTCCCTCCTTGACCAGATAAAGAAGGGCTGAAAGTGCTTTGTTTGGGTTTTATTTTTTGCTGGGTTTTTTTTGGTTGGTTGGTTTGGTTTGATTTTTGTTTGGCTGGTTGGGTTTTTTTTTTTTTCCTTAGGTGAGGGCACTGTATTTCTAGGCTCTCTGGTTAATATTGTCTGCTCTTCCCATGAAAACTTTATCCAGATTTCCAGCTTCAAGAGCCCTGGAGCTCTATCCAGGCTGCTGTATATGAAGGAATCCTGGACATGTTGATTGCACATGTAAGGAGCAGCCACACACCACATGTATGGCAGGTTTACCGGAAAACATCCCATTCCTAGCACGTGTAACAAGGACACGCCGTGCCTGCTGGCAGCGTGTGGGAGAGACTCTCCATACACCCACACAGCCACGCACGGTAAGGCATGTCCACGAGCTATCAGATTTACAGCGTTACGCAGTACATACACCATAGCTTATCCAGGAAATAAAAAAAAAACCCCAACCAAACAAAATCAAACAGGTTTTCCTCTACAACGGACACACAGAAATTCCAGGATTTATGGGACAGATCCACTACTCGTGAAATGTGTCACTGCATGGCTCAGGTGTAGTACAGCCAATACTTCTGCAGTCAGCACGGGACTTACTATTTCTATACTACACCAAATAACATGTATTCTCCCACAGGAAACCCTAATAAATGTATAGTCCCCAACAGACTGATCCCAGGATGACACACGGAACTGAAAGACGTAGCCAATCACATTATAAGCAGATTTACTATAATTTCCAGGAAACCAGCAAGTACACAACTACTTAACCAAAGAGCAAGGTGACAACTCCTCATACAGTCAGAGTTGACCTCAACAAGGTACAGAGCACAGCCAATTTTCTCAAGTGCCACTCAACTTCAAAAAGGTTGAGAACCACTGATTTAGACAATCATACATATTTATTTCAATCCTGCATTCTAGTTCTGCACAGATTCATTTCGAATCACAGTTTCACGAGTATAGTTTAATCCAGTAGCACAATGGATCACCAGGCAAAGAGAAATCACAGTAGGAGTGACAACAGCAGGTAATGAGAGTTGAAGGTAACCAATACCTTTGAGAACACAATTTTAAGAGGGTGTGAACACCCGAGGGCAATGCTGTGCCCTGGTAACAGAGATGCGTACAGAAGAGGTTATGAGGGAAGAGGGAAGAAAGGGGAATCCATAGTTCAGCTCACTCCTACCCCATAGCCCTTTGGAGAACACAGAAATAGTGCTGTCACCCCGGGACGTGGAGCCCCAGGTGCTGGAGAGACAGAAGAGGTTGACCTCAGAAGGGAGCTGAAAGAACGAATATGCTTAAGTTTTTAAGGTGCTGAAATACTCCAACATTAAGATCTAAGGATGGAGGTCCTCGTTCCCTTCCAGCTTGGGCAGAGATATGTAGGTTTTTTATTACAAGGAAACAAACGTCAGAGGAAGAAGCTTTTACCAGCACTGCCTTTGCCTAATGTAGATCAGCGTTATCCTCTCTCCCTGCCTCCAGAACACACTCTGCCTCAGACACATCCTGCTGAGGTCAGTGCTCCCACCACAGGACTACGTCCTCAAGGAAGAGGGGGGCCTTAGAGGGTTTAGCTGAAAAAAAGCATACACTTTTTGGCGTGGAACAGGAGTAAAAGATATAAATGCACAGCTTTTTCCCTCCGTGTTGTGTAAAGATCCAAAATGCATCAACTTCCTTAATCATGGAGAGAAAAGATTGGAGAAAAGGAAAGAAGACAATGCAAAGTGGGGAAGAAAAGGATGCTGCATTTGCAATATCACCATGGGTTTCTGAAAAGTGGAAGCTGACTATCTGAATCACAAACAAACAAACAAGAAAAACCAAACAAGATAGGCATAGAAATCGCAGAGCTCAAATTAAAGTTAAAATAATTTAAATGTTATGACTTATAAGCACGTGGTCATGATCATTAGAGTGCCT